ATTACGTGTCTGGGAACTGAATTTGAAAACTTTAAGTTGCACGTAGGTGAGGGAAATCCCCTGAACATTTCAATTTCCCAGCTTTTTTGGTTGCCGAGTCAGCAATTTCCCGCCAAAATTTTCACGTGCTTGTACGTGAGAACCACGCACACCTAGGGGCTGAATTTGAATGTTTAGTCCACACATGCACAGAGACATTCTCTGCAAAATATCAGCTCCCTATCTTGTCTGGTCTCTGAAATCGCTTTCCCGCCAAAAAATTTGCATATTTTGTTAAAGCGTCCGTACGTGGCACCCAGGCGCGCGAATTATAATACCCAGGCTGGAACGCACCAGGCGAGCCGGTGCGATCATGCGTTTTTGCACCAAACTTGAAGCAATTAGGTTAACTGCATGAGTGGTTGTTTCTTTACACCTACCTTGTGCTCTCAATACCGTAAATCATCGTAAATTTTACATAAAAGAAAATAAACAATTTCCGTTTAGCGATCGTTTTTTGAAAATGGCTCCGCCGTTCAATGAGTAATTTCCTGCCAAAAATTTAAGTGCCCGTACACGAGAACCACGCATACCTGCGGGCTGAATTTGATAACTTTAAGTCGTATATGAGCTGGGAACGTCACATTAAAATTTCAGCCTCCAAAGTTTGCTAATTCTCAAGTTAGCCATTTTCCCGCCAAAAAATTTAGCGAGGCCGTGCATGCCTGGAGAGATGAATTTGATGACTTTAAGTCGTATATGGGCTGGGAACATTCCCTGAAAACTTCAGCTTCCCAGCTTTACTAGTTCCCGAGTTAGCCATTTTCCCGCCGAAAAATCTCACGAGGTCGTACGCGGGAACCATGCACACCTGGAGGCTGAATTTGATAACTTTAAGTCGTATGTGGGACTGGGAACATTCCCTGAATTAAAATGGAAGGGTCGAACAGGTGGTGAACATAATTAAAATGGAAGGGTCGAACAGGTGGTGAACACATACCACCGAAGTTTCAGCCTTCTGACTTTTCTGGTTCTCGAGTTGAAAGCTGGTGAAAAAAAAGCGCGAACACACAGACACACAGTCAGCCTCTTGCTAATATGCGTTTTTGCATTTGCATATATGCAAAAACGCATATTGCCGAGATGTCATCCGTATGCCTGTGTCTGTGCGTGCGAGTGTGTGTATGTGTGTGTG